TGGTGGAGCTCTCTAAGGAGCTATCAATTCAAGCAAAAAGCGGGGCTGATATAGTTACCTTGGAAAATACTCTAGCGGTTCCCTGTGAGCCCATACCAAATGTAATGGAAACACCTTTAGTGGAGACGGGCCCAGATACGCCGGAAGTGGAGGTGGAAGTTATAGAGCCAGTTGAAGAGGCTTCGAAGGAAATTCAAGGGACGGATTCAGAAGAACTCTGCAAGGTGACGGATGTTACTAATATAATATCCTTTGAAAAGGCGATACTCTTCCGGAAGAAGATAGGGTGGTGGTTGAACAGGATGGTTTTGTATCCGAGGATGACAATACAATCATGGAGGAAACAACAAGGGATGCTTGGATGGAAGTGTGTAATGAGCTCAAGAGGAAGGTTAGTTTGATTGAAAAAGAACAGTCAGCCGTTTTGGGAGTGGTTTCAAGGAAGATAATCAAGGAGGCTCCTCCTTATTCGGTCACTACTAGGCTAGCGGCCAAGAGGAACAACCTGGACTCTTCCTAGACTATTTCTTTATGAAGATTCTCACATGGAACTTGCGTGGCCTTGCATCTTCGTGCCCAAGGTTACGTGAAATTGTTAGGCACAACTCTGTAGATCTCATTACTATTATTGAGCCGCTTGTACATCAAAATAAAGGGGATTATTTATGCATAGTTTGGGTTTCTCCAAGCTTTTTATGGCATCGACAAATAAAATTTGGGTGATGTGGAATTCCAATATGTTTGACATTGATGCAATTCGGGAACGGGATCAGTTCTTGATTATGAAAGTAAGATATGTGCCTACAAGTTTCAGTTTTACTTTCTCTCCGGTCTATGGTCTTCACACAAGAGTGGACAGAGCCAAGCTATGGGCGGGTATGAATGCCTTTGTGATGCAGGATAGATCGGATCGGTTACTAGGAGGGGATTTTAATGTAGTGGCTTCCCTCTTGGAGTATAAAGGCAATTCTAGCCCAATGCTTAATGATATTATGGATTTTAGAGACTGTTTGGATTCTTGTGAGCTTATGAGTCTGCCTACGATAGGGTCCTCTTATACTTGGACCGGGGTTCGGTCTAACGGAAGAGTTTGGGAAAAACTGGATAGATACGTGGGAAATCAAGGCTTTATATCTAAATTTGGGGTGGTTTGTACTCAGCACTCGAGTAAAAACCCCTCAGATCATTGTCCGATTCTTCTAATTTGTGAAGAAGATAACTTTGGTGGCCCTAAACAATTCTGTTTTCAAAATATGTGGTTTTCACATGGTGACTTCATCACATGGATAAAAGAAAAATGGATTTCGTATCCGACTATGGGAGGGATGAGAGGATTGATGGACAAACTTAGAAGGCTGAAAGGTGATCTTAAAGTGTGGAATAAAGAAGTTTTTGGTGATATTTTCAAATAGGTAAATAGACTTGAGATCATAGCATTGGAGGCAGAGAAGAATTTTGAAGAAGTAGGCTCCGAGGAGAACCGGGCTCTTTGCTTCAAAGCGCAGGCTGAATTTCTTTTAAGAGTTAAGCAGCAAGATATGTATTGGCATCAAAAGGCTAATGTAAAGTGGTTACGGGAGGGAGACACCAATACTCAATTTTTCCATGAAAAAGTTAAAGGAAAAAAACAGCAACAACATATTCTGGCTATCAAAAACTCTAGAGGTGACTGGTGTTATGATAAAAAACAAATTGGGGAGGAGGCAGATGCATATTACACTAATTTATACAGTGAAGAAGTGACAAGTTCCTATGACATGTTACTTCCTAATATTCCTAAAGTGCTCTCAGATGAAGACAAATTTTTTCTAAATGCATTGCCAAGTGAAGACGAGGTTAAAGCGGCTATATGGAGCTTAAACCAGGAGGCTGCCCCAGGGCCAGATGGTTTTGGAGGTATGTTCTATAGGAAATGCTTGGAAATAATCAAAATTGATGTTCTTTTGGCAGTTCAGGAATTTTTTATGGGCCATTCAATTCCTAAGGGCGTTGGAAGTGTTAATATGGTGCTTACACCTAAAAACGAGAGTCTTGTTTCATTTGGAGATTTTATGCCAATTTGCCTATCTACTTTTGTTAGCAAGATTAATACAAGAATCTTGGCTACTAGAATGGGAAAGGTGCTGTCTAAACTCATCTCATGGGAACAGTCTGGCTTCATGAAAGGAAGGGAAATAAAGAATCAAATTCTTATTGCTATGGAATTGTTGGACAATTTGGATAGGAAAGTAAGGGCTTCAAACATTGTGGTTAAATTGGATATGGCCAAGGCATTTGATAGGATGTCTTGGAGCTTTCTACAGGCTGTCTTGGGACAATTTGGTTTCAGCCAGCAGATTCAGAGCCTTATTGTGGGCAATCTAAAGTGCTTACATTTCTGTGTTGGTCAATGGTATTCTCTATGGTTATTTCAATACTGCTAGAGGTTTAAAGCAAGGTGACTCATTATCCCCATTACTTTTCATTATTATGTCTGAAGCTTTCTCGAGGGACATAAATAAACTAATGACATTTTTTACTAACGAACCAATTTGACTGAAGTTGAGAAACAATAACTAACGTGTCATTGATAGTAATTAACTCTGATCAATGGTGATTGATGAAAGTGCTGGCATCAGCGGTGGGTGGGTGGGACGATGACTAGGGTTGTCCGAGGAAGGCGACTAGCGCTCGGATCCTAGGCTGATGGTTGTAAAAAAAAGAAAAACAAAAATTAAAGTTCAAAAGTCAAAGTCACACATATGAAGTTTATCTCAGAATTAGATGATTACTCACTAAAGAGTCAATTTGAAAGTTTTATATGTATTGGATAATATTTGAGTTGAGAACCCTAATTGAACTTTTTCATAATAATAGGGGTTTTTTGACACTTTCCATAATCTTTTGATTGTTAAGGACTACTCACAAGTCACAACAAAGCCAAGAACTTCCAAAAAGATTGATGTTCATAACCAACCTTAATTGATACAAAAAAATGAGCGTAGCCTATATCGAAATAAATCTATAATACTCCCCATGTCCCTATTTAATCTTCTCACTTAGACTTGCACCCATATTAATGGAATGAGATAAATCTTACTGTAGAATACACTGTTTGACACAATTCTGCACTGTTTTACACTGATTTATTTACCAAATAAAGAAAGATGACTTTATTAAGGGGCATTCAAAAAAAGAAAATGGAAATATTAAATATGGGCGGAGGGAATAGTTCATAGAATCATGACCCATGTTTTATAAAAAAGAACTAACCTACAAAGTATGATATACAACATATTTAATTCTTATCTATTGTTTTAAAGTTGTAAAGGTTAAGATCGCGTTTTTGGGTGTACTAGAATCGATCAATTCGATATGATTTTATGATCCAACCTCCAAAACTCATAGACAAATTATAAATTCGAATTTGATCACAGTTAACTTTGTATAGAGAGAATCATGGAAAGCAGAACTTCTATCATCTCACCTAGGTAGGACTTGAACCCAAGGTTTCTCACGAAAGAGATAGTTGAGAGTGAGTAGTAGATCATCCATTGGACTACACCCACCCGAGGTACCCCCACCTTCCCCATGTTATAAAATTTAGATATTACCCATACTCACCGGTGGGCGTAGCTCAATTGGTAGCGAGGGAGTGCCACAAAGGTTAAGTCCCGAGTTCGAATCCCGACAACTGTGATGAGAGGTTACTATGCTAAAATGCATAGGGCATCTGCAAGTACCGGGGATAGAGCTTCACTCTCTATATGTCAGGTTGTGATTATAGTCCAATTTACATCCTCCCAACTTACCGTCCGATCGGTGTTGGGGGGCCCTCAGGGATGGAGTGTCATCCTTTTTTTAGATATTACTCATACTCTTTTTGGACTTCGTTTCCACAAACCATTGATATTTGAAGATTTAGATTTTGTCAATTTCTAATTGTGCTTTTATACGATTAAAAGTAGTTTGCACACTTATATTGAAAATAGTTGGAAAAGACACGTTAGAAATTGACAAACTTTTTTGTGCAATGAAATTCAGACCTTAAATCTTAAGTACATTGATGAATCCTATTTGAAACAATGGCAAGAATATTACTTTCACGATAAAAAGTGACTTAACATCCGCCTCTCTTTCTTCTACGTTTCCCTTCGTTCGCATCTCATCTTCTCGCACACAGTGTTGGAGTTGACTTCCAAGCTTCCTCATCTCATCCTTCTCCATCTCCCATCTCGCATGTGAGCTCCGCTGCCGCCATAGACAAAGCCGCCGTCTGTGAGCTATGTTGCCGCCATGGACGAAGCCACTGCCTCGAACTCTGATGTCGCCCATCTCGTCACTTCGCTTCTGCCCCCTGTGAGCTTTGCTGCCTCCCATCCCGTCGCCTCACCTCCGCCGCCTGTGAGCTCTGTTGCCCTTCGTAGACAGAGTTAACGCATCGTTTCCGTCACCGCTGTCCTCTCCCTAAATGTTCAAATCTGTGATAGCTAGGGCAATTTCGGTCCGACGGCGTGCAATTTCGGTCCCAGGTCGGCGAAAATGGGCTGACAGCTATGGTTACTGGCGGAGGTTGTGGGATGACTGTTGGGGGCTAGGATTGGGGACTGCCGGTTGGGTTTGGGGGCTGAGGGTTGTGGCAGGTTCAGTGGTTTGGGACAAGGCTAATGGGGATGAGGCAGCTCTAGTGGTGTGGGGCAGGGCTGCTGGGGATGGGGGCGGGGGCTCGTGGGGTGGGGCGTGGCTAGGCCAATGGGGTGGGGCAGGGCTGGAGTGATGAGGGCACGACGCTGCTTGAAGGGCTACGGCGAGGTGTGGTGTTGAACAACTCTTGTACAGGGGCTGGAGGCTGTGCAGGGCGTGGAGGTTGGGGGCGGTGTTGGTGGGATGGGGAGGGGCTGATGGCTGGGCAGGGGCTGGGGAGGGGGTTGGTGGCTGGGTAGGAGCTGGGAGGGGGGATGGTGGGTTGGAGAGGGGGCTGGGAGGGGATGTGGGGGTTGGGGAGGGGGGCACCGGGCCGGTGGGCAGGGCTGATGTGGTCACTGGGAGGGCTGGAGGGGGGAAGTGGCCGTCAACGGTGGTGGTTGCCGGGTCGGAGTTGTAACTGCAGTGGTCGACGGCGGTGGTTCACGGTGGAGTCACTACGACGGCGTCACTACGGCGTCGTGTCACTATGACAGCGTCACTGTTGCGGCATCACTATGACGACGTCACTGTGACGGTGTCAATACGTCATTGTCACTATGACCGACGATGATCTCAGGTCGGCAGCGGTCACCAGTCGGAGGTGATGGGTGGTGGTGATGGATTAGCGTTTCACCATACCAAATCACCATGAAAAATGAGTAAATAAGTAAGCTTATTAAATATTAATCACATTAAAAAGGGTCAATTTTTTGTGAGTTAACCTTTATTACTACTATTCCGGACAAAAGCCCATCTTATTTATCAATTATGTATTCCGTATACGATTGAATTAGCTTTCTCAAAAGTTGAATTTTTGCGAATTAAATTTATAAAAAAGTGTTCTCCAGATTCGCAAAGTTCGATTATCTAAAATTCAAAATCATTCCCAAAGTTCGGTTTCTTTCCGGATTCATTCAACTAAAAGTACAAATCCAATCAAGTTCTGGCCTCTGAAACCCTAACATACATCGAATTCCAGCTCTATATCTACTGTTTGGCGACATCATCAAGGGGCGCCTGTTCCTCCACACCATTCGCCGACGACGTCTGCATCATCAGCATAGACGTGAACGTCATTTCCCGGTCACCGTGGCCGGGAAAATCGTGCGATGGCAGCGTCAAGTCAAACCGGCAGCACGGCGGACTAATCGAGAACAATCCCATCTCTGGCACAGCTTGGTGGACGTATCTGCTTCCGCCGTTGGTGCGGGGAAGCGCCGACAGTGGTCGAACCGGGTTGGCTATTTGCGGCTGTATCTGATTTCCAGAGCCGAAGGTCGAAGACGGTAAGGCAAAAGCAAAGGGTAAATGCTGGAGCTGGCCCAGCCCTGTCGCCAGCGGCGCCATACCTGACGGCGGAGGGCGCGAAGTTGCCCCGGACGGAGAGGTGGTGACAACAGACGCTGGGGTGGTCCCAGTTCCGGTGGCGGCGATGATGGCGGGCTCAGCCTGGCATAGAAGCCACTGGATGGTCTCCCCCTCCGTGCGGTGGCCGAGCTCCCGGGTGAGCTGGAAGATGCGAGCGGCGCAGAGCGCCGGCATCCTGACTCGCCGTCCGCGTCCGTTGACCTTGGTGTGGCGATCTCTGACCGAGCCAATCCTGAGAGAGGTGGCGGTCTCGGCGGAGGCGGCGGGGCTTGGAGGGGCAAGGTGGTAATTCTGGGGTGGAGTGAGGAGAGAGTGAGGGTTGTCGGGTTGAGAAGCGGAGAAGTCATTGAAAGGCATCTCAGAACCCATTTGCGATTTCTGACCCCACCTCCGGACCGGGTGGCCCCGTTTTATAGTTGGGTCAGCTGCGTCCGGATTTGGATCGCTGACATGTCCGATTCGGCCCGGCCCCACATCCATCTGTGTTATGCCTGGATTTAGTAGGCCCCGCGTCAGCATTGCATTTCTATCGTGCTCTATGCGTAATATTTTGCTTTAGGGTACATTCCTTATAATTTATTTATTTATTTAATTAACTTTAAAGATAGAGAGAGTTTTCTAGCACGCTCGGATGCACCATGCTACTTCATAGTGTGCACCTTTCAACTAGAGCGTAATCTTTACACAATTACACCGGTATGTTGACTATATTACTTCTTGTATAACTAGATAAAGTTTGATCGACATGAAGATTAATAAAGTAAAAATTGTGTGGTTGAGGTTTATGCATAGGAGAAAGAATTAACTGGAACCATAAATTCTTTACTTAAAAGGGAAAATGACAAAGTTAGTGGGACATCCAAAAAAGGAAAGTTGACAAAGTTTTAAGAGACAGAGAAAGTATTTTATGTTATGCTTAATGAGTATATAACGTTTAAACTAAATAAGTATTGATATTAAATCATTGTAATGATAAACAACTAAGTATTATAAACATGGAATTGAGTATCATGATTTACACGTGATATATATTAGGGGTGGGTTTGGTTCTTGCGGTTCGGTTTTGACCTAAAACCAAATATAGAATCAAAGTAAAAAGTTCGGTTCGGTTTCGGTTCGGTTCTACACTCCAAAACTTGGAACCACAGTTTAATTGGTTTGGTTTGTTTCGATTCGGTTTCGGTTTTTTCGGTTTGTTACCAAAAAAATATCATTTGATTTAAAATTGATATAATACTTTGAGGGATCAAACATATATTACATAAAGAATGCAAGCACACTACAACAAATAAAATAAAAATGAAAATAAATAAATATGTCATGAATTATATGAGTACGCGAGAGAGATAAAAGTATATATTATTAATTTACATTGTTTGTGACTAGTTCAAAAAAAATTCATGAGTATATACGTTATATGTGATATAGTTGGGATAAATATTTATTGTTTCATCGATACGAATTCTTTAAGTTAAATAAAAATAAAAGTTAATTAATACTAATAACAAGTAAAACATATTATCAGTATAGCTACATTATTACGTGCAATGAATGTGTAAATGAATTCACAAACTAAACCAAACATAACAAACATTATTTCTCTAGCACAACAAAACCCAAAACTATTAATGATATTAGGATTAGTTAAGATTAATGCTTAACAATGGACAAATAAATTTTACTCCGTATATTTTAACTAGTTCGGTTTGTTCGGTTCGGTTCGGTTTTGAAGGGTAAAAACCAAAACCGAACCAAACAACTACGGTCGGGTTCAGTTTTTTACATTCGGTTTCGGTTTGTTAGCGGTTCGGTTTTATTTGGTTACGGTTCGGTATGACTTAATTCGGTTTTCGGTTTTTTATTTTTCGGAACCAGCCCTAATACATATGTTGCAAATCAACTTATTGATTTAACTGTATTATCATTGTATTATCATCAAAATATTTATTGTGCTAATTTTATAACTTAATACAAATTTTCATTTCTTTTAAACATTATACACATTTTTTTAACATAACATATTCGTTTGTACTGTGTGCACGGTACATTGTCAACTGCTGGTAAAGGGTGACATTCACCCGCATCCATCCATGCAATTTTTTTCATATTTCATCCATTTATCCAATGTCGGTAGTAAAAAATTCATTCAAATTTTCATTATGATCGGGTTCATCGTGTGGATTTGTTGATTAGCGGATGAACACAAACATTTGTGGTACACGACTTTTCATTTTTCTATTTTTAGTCATCAACTATCGTGAGAGACACTTTTAGTCCTTTACTTTCAAGTTTTCCACATTTAGTCCTTTGAGTATTATCAAATTGACACTATTAGTCCTTCTACTATGATTTTGACACAATAAGTGGAGGACTAAAAAAGTCTCTATTGCAATAGTTGAATGACTAAAAGTGTCACTTTTACAAAAGTCGAAGGACTAAATACGAAAATTTTCAAAGACGGGTATCAAAAGTGTCTCTCGCACTATAGTCAAGGACCGTAAATGAAAAACAAAAGTCGAGTACAAAAAGTATCACTGACACAATAGTCGGGAGACTAAAAATGGCAAAAACTCCACACAGAATCATACGGAGTGACTTTTTAAAAACTAAAATCAACGATGAGCTAAAATGGACAACTATAATAATTTAATTTTTAATTAATGGAAGTAAATTAGTAGTTTATAACAATTTAATTTTTGATAAAGATTGTTGAATTCCTCTTGTTTTAAGTTTTATATTTTTTTTACTATATCCAATTAGTCTAATCATAAATACATATGCACTTGCGAGTGTTGTCATACTATTTGGTCTGTTCATTTGGAGGTATTGGAAGAGCTTAATTGGGATAGTTTTTTAGGTCGCTGAACATTACGATGTCAGTTCATATATATCATGAGCTAAACTATATCTGACCAGAATTAAATAATCTTACTTCTATAGATGTTGATAAGTGATAATTATGCACCGATTATGCAAATTGTTGGCCTCGTCACATTATCAAATTAATTTGATTTACAATGCATTAATTAAAAGTTACAGATTAACCATATATTCAGAAATGTTTCTGATTTGTAGAATTTGATACGATCATATCTTGCTAGACATTGGATAATTGTTTTTTAATTGTCTCTCACTATACGATAACGTATGGTTTTAATTTGTGCTGTTTAGGATTATTATGGAGCGATGCACGTGACCATTGATCATAAACGTTCAAGTACAGCGCAGAACATGTGAAGGCAACAATTATCTAAATTCTAATGGGTTTGGCTCTATTTGCAAATGTCTTTGGATGGGTTTCACACGGTCCAAATGACCAAATCATAAATTTGGTTTTGGTACCAATATTACTAAAAAGGAGATAGTTTCAAAAAATGTGATCTTTTTTAATATTTTCCAAATATATGACTAATTAACATTTAGTTTTCCATATTACCCTTCCTGGGTCAACAACTGCGGTACGTTGATATACCGTATAATATTACAAACTCTAAAAATTAATGTCTCTTAATTTTAATATTATTTCTAAAAATACATATTTGGATATGGAATTTAAAGTCTTAAATTTCTAAATTATTACACCAATTTTTCAGTGACAACATATCCCAGTTACTAACATTCCAATGAGCACCGTTTCAGTTAGGATGTTTTTACTTGGACTGTAATTCCTCCCAGACCAGACCATATTTGGATAGTTATAAAAATACAAAGAAACCAGACCAGACCATCAAATTACAGTCCAAGTAAAAACATCCTTACTACCGCTTCAGTGACCACCGTTCCAATTACTATCGTTCCGGTTACAGTTACATGATCCGAACAATTACCCGACTAGTTAAAGTTACTTGACCCGATCAATTATAGTTATCTGACCCAACCAGCTACAGTGACCACTGGTCACCACCGCCATCCATTGACCGCCACCACCACCACCGACTGGCGTCGGCCACAGTGACATCTTCATAGTGACTCCGACCATAGTTACTTCTACCACACTATCCAATTCGATAGTGACCACCACCGGAAAACACCGCCGTCCACCACCGCCATCACCCTCTCCAACCCCAAACCCAATCCCCTCCATGACTTACCACAACCCATAGCCCCACTTCCACCGCCGGGCCCTGCTACCCCGGTGACCGCCGCTGTCCTCCACCGCCCTGCCCCAACACTCTCTCCCAACTTCCCAGCCCCATCCCTTACACGGTCACTGCCCCACCCCTCATCGCATCCCTCTCCAGCTTCCCACCTGTTCAGAGCAGATCCAGCCCGTCACAACCCTCGCATACCTCTGATATACCCCTACAATGGCAGCGGCAGGCGACGAGACGAAATCGTGTCTGACTACAAGACGCGAGCGCTAGCGCCAACGATGCCTATTGTTGCCAGAAATTGATTATATCAGTACTTAATCGAAGACGCGAACGCTCATCACTTGCCTTCATAATCCCCGCTCCCCAACATCAAATCTCCACCATCGCTAGGCCGCCGCAATTGATAGGTTGTCACCATCGAAGAAGAAGAAGAGAGAAGAAAAAAGAAGAGTGAAATACATGCGATGTCTGTGCAGCGTGGAGACGACGACGTGAAAATGGCAGCGACGTGGAGAAGGTGATGGCCTGCGATGGAGAAGATGGCATGCGATGCTAGCGGCTGTTGGAGGAAGGAAGCGAACGGCGCTTTGCCTAAGTGACGAGAGAGAAAGAGGGAAGAAAATTAGGGTTGCAGGGGCAATAAAGGCAATGCATATATCTTAAGTAATATTTATGTCCAAACGGGATTCTAGTCATATATTTGTCCTTAATAAGTCTTAGAGTGATACGGATGCCATTTCTTCATATTTTATCAACTGAAACTATTATTTTCAAAATTTAGAATTTGATTTAAATATATTTGAAGACAACAACAGTATAATTCTTTTTCTAGATTCGTTTAAAATTATTTTTTGATTCCGTTTTCTCTTTAATCGTCCTCTAACATCCGACATGCTCATTAACGAGCAAGCAAGTCTCAGGCTTGCGTACTTTTTATTATCTTACTCCATATTTTTTTTGGGTTGCGTGAGACCTGCGTGCTCATTAAGGAGCCCGTCACGGGCTCTTTAAAATTTCTGTCTATATGAATATCTAAAATTTTGTTTTTCATGTCAATTGTATAAAGAAAGTACTAGTCATTCATTCCTCATCTTCCATGCTTGTAAGTTACCTGTACTTTGGGGAAACCCTAGCCCCCATCTTTCTTTTTCACTCTCCGTAATCTTCATTCTAAAATCAGGTTCAATATAGAAATAATGTTGTTAAATCCCATTAGTCTTATTTCCAAAGTGATGGAACTGAAACAGCTAGTTGTGCAATCCAGTAAATCTGCAATTACACCATGTTAGTAAATTACTATAGAAGTAAAAATATCCTGTAAACCAAACTCTAAGCAACAAAAGACCCACCTAATTTAATCAACTTGTCATTTATAAGGGCGACTAAATCTTCAGAATCACATACACGGCAACACAGGATATGAAATTCTGAATCTAAATTTTTAAATAAGAATTTGTATGTGTGATCTTCCGCTTGAGAGTGTGAGTGCCCATGTATGGAACCATATGTTTTTCCTAGAGAAGCGCATAGTTCTTCAAGCAAGTGATCCTCAAAGTCCTTCCTTCTATCAACAATTAAATTTCCATTCTTTACATCCATATCTATGGATTTCATTTTCAAGGCAATGCTTCGTATACATTCGAGGTTGAAAACAAAATGCCTTGCCATCGCTCCAGTGGTGACATTGTAAAGTTGTACCATGTTGGAAAAGGCTAAGCGCACCATGAAGACAAAGAAATCGATGATATTCATGCCTACATGAGAAGGAAAGAGGCAGAGTTGTATTATGATTTAAGATAAGAAGACGATGGTGCCTAAATTTAACAAGTCTCAGGCCATGACTTATTGTCCTGCTTAGTACCTAGCAAGTACACCAATGAGGGGATTGAAATACTCTATTGATGGCAAACAACGATAAGATAATCCTCGTGTACTGTGTAGTTTTATAATCAATGCAGCTTTTGGCAGATCTTAAAAATACTTTGACCATAACTTGTGTCACTTGGTGTCATAGAGAGATGGGGCAAGAATGTAATACTTTTCAAAAAACTTTCTTTTGAAAACCATGGTTTACCACTTCAAAAGTATTGCATTACGGGTCCATCTTATCACGAGACCGTCACTAGGAGATGACCTCTTTAAGTCCTAGATCTCAGGAGAAGAGTGCCTATTATAAGCCCCAGTGACTAACTTAGAGCAAACAAACCGTTAGATATGCAACTGATATTAGCAAATTAATACCTACCCTTCATATCATATTGATATTTGGTAGGGCTATTACAACGTCACACTGTGAGTAGTATTATGCACATTGAATTCTGCGAGCTGATGAACCAGCCATCCATGAAATGGAAGCTGATTGCCCCCTAAGCAGTCCGATAATAGAGTACATGATATATTTCATTATTATCATATACGTATAAATTTATAAAACCTGAATAACAAACTGTTTTATCTTGAACTGTAGAGACAATTCACCTTTTGGATACTTCTCATAAGTGTGTAGCTATGCACGGGTACTAGTAATTTACCTATAACATACAGCATACCTGTATTTGCAGCGAGGTTGCGCTGACAGAGCTCCTCGAATTCATCACATCCCTTAAGGTCTTCAATGTATTCCTGAGCCTCATGGTAGTCTCTCAGAAGCAAATCCCACTGATCAGGTCATATCATTAGAGTTAGCTTTAGAAGAGAGGGCGAGGGTGGGAGAGAGAGAGAGAGAGAGAGAGAGAGAGAGAGAGAGAGAGAGGGGGAGGGAGAGGTACAACAGATTGTTTCGAGTGATCTAGCCTACAGTTGCAGAGGCGAAACTTACCACCCAAGGTAGATTATATGCGTTGAACCAGTTGTGATTTATGGATATAGTATCCTCCTGTAAGTTATGTAACATTTATGACCTTAGCAGGAAAAAAATACTACAAAGAGCCACTAGCATAAGTAGCAGGAGTATAAAACAATTAAGCCACTACCATAGTAGCAAATTCATTAAACATTCCAAAGAGCCAAGTAAACACTATCTTCTCTACCACAACAAAAACAACAAGGTTATACTCATACCAAACACAGGCAATAGCACATGCTGATTGGCCACTTACTCCAGCATGCGATATGAGGAGAATAATTAAATGGAAAATCATTTGAAACTCACTCCATAGTCAGATCGGCTAGAATGATGAAGAAGTGAGAAAAGCAAGTCATTTGATATTCTTAATGCAGATTATATGAAAATGTTCACGATGGTCTTATTTTGCATCCAGCCCTAATTAAACCAAGTTTCAAAATGTACGGACATCTGCTATTGAGAAAAGCAACTCATCTGCTATTACGTAGCTTCAAATAATAATCAGTTGACCTAAGGCCCTCCAGATAAACACATTTTTGTTTCTTTTTAAACTGCAGAAGCTATTGTAACAATGGATTTCCGTAGTTAAGATGTGCGGAGTATGCTAAGAGCAAATTTAATTGTTATTAGCAACACATTTTCATTAAGACAAGGTTCGAAAGAATTGTTTTGATACAGCAAAGGCAGAGTTATTCCTATATTTAGAATACAACGGACATACCAAATTCTGAACTTGATGATACCATCCGCTAGGCACAAAGATTATTTCATTCTGCTCCTGAGTGCATTCCCACCAAACAGCCTGGATTCATTGAAAAATAACTTTTTTATTAAATAGATAGACAAACTAATCTATGGAGAACAAGTAAGACTATAGAGTATGAAGTGGGCAGAAGAAACATTCGACAATGATCAACAACCCCAAAAGTAGTAGTAGTAGTAGTAATACTAACTACTCCTAGTTAACAACAACAAGAACAACAACGGCAGCAGCAAAACAACAACAAGAACAACAACAGCAACTACCTTTTTAAATCCAGGAAACTTGGCTTCATTAGCATCTGAAAAGATATTATAAACACAAACTCTCATGTTCCTGCAAGAACAAAAGAACCAAGTAATTTCACATCTCTACAAGAATAAGTATGAATTTGAAATGTCCGTACAATTAGAGAAGGGAAACATCACATTTAGGTCCTAATTATAAGCATTGATATCCTCCAAATCATCTCTACATGTCTAATCAGCTACATTTACCAAAAAAAAGTAAACACACGTTATATAATGTCTATCAAAGATATCCTCCTCTCCGTAAATGATGACACTTATGTGGGGATACGGGCCATAGCTATCTATTCTTTACTTTTTTAGAGGGAAAGAGTGAAAGACCACCGCGTAAACATGATATCAAGAATTATATTTTCTGGCATGGCAGAGTTGACATACAACAAAATGTTAAATGGGAATTCATTAAGAAACAAGTTCTGATGCTGCCAAGAAATAAGATAAACTTTTACTTATACCTGTCATATATCAGATGATGTTGATCTGGATGTAACAAGTACCACTGTTTTCTACCACACACATTTGCTGACCAACTATATGATCTGAAAACATCAGCATGAAGAGGCGTCCATGTGCCTTCAAGCAAGACCAAAGATTGGAAATAAAAAATGAGCTTTTTTTATAACTTAATAAATAGTACACATCATTGCTTGAAACCCCAAAATCTTTGGAAAAATCCATAACAAGTTTAAAAAGCGACAAGAAAATATTCAAAATGAGAAGTTAAATGGAAAATTTGGATGACTATGAGGGTCTTAGTTTTCCTCTTCAGTTTTGCCTGTTTCACTAACGTAGATACCATATCAAGGAACTTCCTGATATCCTTCATCTTGATATGGTATTTCTGGTTAATAAGTGCACATGACAGTGACACAAGCTCAATGTTATGGAAAAATAAGCTTTCTACCAACAAAGGAGTTCTATTTTTTTGCACAAACCTTTGGGTCCAATGTATACGAAACG